GTTGAAATGTTCAAATTGACAACCACCTGCATATGAATAATCTTAAAGATCGTGGTGCTATATGGTAATATCATTTAGGATGTATTGTTACATGACAATACAGCAGAGTCAGGAGGGTTTGAAAATGACTAATTTGCATGTGTTTATTAATGATCACCGCTATAACATACGGTCTAAGTTAAGCATGTGAAACTTGATAATAACGGAATCATGGAAGATCATTTTGAAGTATTGAACCTAAGGATCATTCAGGACAATAACATGTATTTATATATATTCTAATTGTCAATTCTGCGCAATCAAAAATTAGGCAAAGGCTTTCGGGCGTGGCCAGAGCCACGCCCGAAAGCCTTTGTCTTCCCAGTGGGTTAATTCGGAACAGTTCAGACAACCGCCACTGTGTTGATTGTGAGTGGGACTTGAACTCGGCAAAAAAGGCTCATAAAAAGGGACACGGACACCCAAAGGGAGGAATGCAGTTTCACACTTAAACACATGGCTACAGAAACATAAAGTAGCTCTGTCTTTACACAAGTTTTGGGATGACCTCCGGAGGAAGGGAGTATGTTACGATGTATTACATCAGGTGGCAGAATATCTGCGAGCCAGAACCAAAGATGACCTGAGGCTGACCCCGATGGATGCTTGAGGGGTGTCAAAGTGGGAGGAGCTTTGGGCTCTTGATGTGCCTTTGGGAATTTATTTAAATAATTATATATGCTCGAAATTCTTAAAAACAGTACAGGAACTCCGCTACTTACAAACAAGTTAGGTTCCAGTGGTCTGTTTGTAAGTTGATTTATTCATAAGTCCAACTGAGCAGGCCCCTCCCCCCACCGAGTGTTTTTTGGCCACTTTTAATCTGCCCCTCGGCACTTTTGGCACCCACAACAACGCAACAAAATAGAGGTAATTAAAAGGGGCGTACGGTATGCGTGATTGACCTCTTGACTTTCTACTCCAAAACTAGTTTTGCAATGGAGGTGCGGCACACGGTAGCGGTAAAATTGTTACTTTGCTTGTTAAACCCAGGAATGCCTCGCTGAGTCTTGAATGTTCCTATCCAGAAGGGTTCTGCCAAGTTACCAGCATAAGTATTGCGATGATGCTGCTGCTGTTTGTAAAGGCAGTCCTTGACTTAGAAACATAATTCGTTCCCGAGACCAGTTCGTAAGTAAATGGCTGTCTGTTATTCCCACTGAAAGGGCACTGATCACAGTGATGTAATGCTTTGAAGCTACCTCCGCCGGTGTTATTCCTTAGAATGTATTTATGTTTGTCCACTGGTTCCTTGCCAGGCGAGCCAGTGTATAGTTCAGGGGTGCAACAACCTTTTTACAACACAGGGGTGGGTATGCAAGATACGACTGTGGGCCTCTCTCCTTTCTCCCGACTCACTTGTACTGAAACTGCCACAGATGGTTTTTAATCCATATCCAGTAATGCGTAGACTATAACTACATATGTATAAACAGTAGTCCCTTGGTTAAGTGATATTAGTTAACGCGTTTATGCGGCTAACGTTTCTTCTCCCATAGTGACCCCATTGTTTCGCCAGAACGTAAAAAATGTTGACTGATGGGGACGTTTTTATGTTATGCGCACGCAGTGGCGCTAATTTCGGCCAATCAAAGCACTCATACGTCTGACTGAGCTAGCCCTCAGCCAATCAGTGACGCCCATTTGTGCTCTAAATTCAATACGATTCTGCAATACGAGGACTTTAACATTCATGTAAATTCCCCATCTACCACTCCAGTAAGAGATGTGTTAGCCATCTTAGACTTATTTATTTTTCACAATATGTGCAGGGCCCTACTCACTCAGGTAGCCACACCTTGGACTTAGTCTGCTACATTGTATTCTCAACTTAAAACCTTTCTATTGCTGATATAAGCCGTTCCGATCGCTCTGAATAATATTTGAGTTACTCCCCACCACCCCATCTGGTTCCCTAAACATAATATTGCATCGCAGTGTAAAGTCTATCCCCTCTACTTTTATTACCCAGTCTATTTCCCTTTCTCCCATAACTAAGCTTAGTTCGCTTTTGGTGAATGAGGCAGCCTTGTCCTTTAACTCCATTCACAAAACACTGGATTCCCTGGCCCTCTTAAAACCAGATGCATTTCAGCCATCAAATTCTCAACTTGGAGCTCCCCACAAATGTGCGTACTAAAAACTGTAGTTATCAAATCTGAACGTGTCTAGATGAAATCAGATTTAACCATACATTATCAAATATTTAAAGCCTCACTCACACTTACAAGGACGCAATCTCCCTCACAAAGTCTTTCTTCCTCACCAACAAATTTGCTTCCAGGAAATAAACCCAAAATTTTTATTTACAACCACAAAAGCTCTTAAATCAACCTAAACCACTTGACCAGCCACTCTGTGCTCTGAAATTCACTACAGCATTTCCACCTCGAAAAAAATTATCCACCCGGTCTCAATTACTCCCCAATCATCCATATACTTTTGAGTACCCATCTCCAAGTTTTTACAGTACAGTATTAGCTGGGTTCTCTGAAATTGCAGTCTCTGAACTGACTTAATTAATTAACACATTTCATCTGATCACTTGTCCTCTGTATCCTTTTCCTGCCCATGTCCTTAGATATCATTTATTTTCTCTATTTCTATTCGTCCAACATCTTCTTAACATGTCACTAATAACTGGGATTGTCCCATCTACATTTAAGACGGCTTCAGTAACACTGCTTCTCAAGAAACGGGATCTAGATTCAGCCGTCCTTCGGAACTTACACCCAATCCCAAATCTCAATTTCAGATCGAAGATTCTTGAGTTTCACAGTTTAATTTACACCTGCTGTCAATGAATCTACTTGATCAATTTAAGTCTGATTTTAGATCTAGCTATAGCACTGAGGCAGCCGTAGTATGGGTAATGAATGATTTCCTAATTGCTGCTGATAAAGGTTCTCCAAATACTCTCCTCCTCCTTGGCCTAATCGCGGCCTTTGACACGATTGATCATAATATATTGCTCGACCGATTGAAAGTCTTGACGGGGATCTCGGGCACTTCGTTGAAATGGTTCTACTCCTATCTCTTAAACCACAACCAATGTGTTATGATGGGCACCTCTAAATCTACAACTAACACAGTAGAGCTTTATTACGACACCAAGGGTTCAACTATCACTGTCACGCAGATGACACTCAGATATACCTACAGTTGGGATTGGATGTTGTATCTACTGTTTCACTATTAGCACAGTCAATTCCTCATGGTAAAGCCTTGATGGCTCAACTTCCATAATATTAATGATGATAAAGCACAGCGTATTTTTAATTTGTACACCCCATCTATCCAATCCAATCTCTCATGTCAATAGCAACATGAGGAACCTCTTTTTTGCACTTGAGAAACATCTCGGCTCCGTCACATCCTTAACACTGCAGACACTGAAAGACTGATCCACGTATTTATTTTCTCACGCATTGACTACTGTAATGCCCTGCTTTTTTGAACCCCGAGCAAACTCCTAAATAGGCTGCAGAATGTTGAAAATGCGGCCGCCAGGGTGCTTACTACTTACTACACCCTTGAAGGATCACATCACACCTGTGCTTCTATCCGTTACTGGCTTCCTGTACATACCCGTATTGATTTTATAATTATCTTACTGATATTCAAGGACTTAAATGGACTTGCTCCTCCCTACATTATTGACCTCGTTCAGCCATTTGATCCATCACGATCATTAAGATCTTCAGATTGTACATTGCTCTGTATCCCACGGTCTTGGCGTCACACTTGAGGTGATCGTGCCTTTTGAAATTGCGGCACCTAAACTCTGGAACTCCTTTCCCTTCGAGGTTAGGACTTCGGAGACACTGCAAATCTCCAAATGTCTTTCTCTCTTTAGTTACTTTCAAACGTCTATATCACTTCTGTACTTGGTTGTTAACTATTTTCTGCCTTTGCATGAATAGCTCCCTGAGCATGATGATTTAAATTCTGCAACGTAAGGAAGGACACACTGCTACATCCTTCAACTGCCCAGTGGGCCTTACCTGGCGTTGATCAATTGCCTGGAATTGATATGGTGCTTGATGTCACAACGTTTCGAGCCCGTCCAACTACTCCCTTACATAGCCGCCGGCAGATCGCAGATTGTTCTACATTCTGCACGTCAATGAGTCGGCTCGTGACTCCCGTGGTCTGTGGCGCATTGTGAAGGGTCCTGCTGCACTCCAACCATCAATCAACCAGTCAATCCGGACTGTGCACAGTATTTGGGACGTTCTTCGCAAATAACATAGTGACGATCAAGAGGGCAGTTTCTAAGTTGAATGCAACAACATTCTCCTGGTCTGCCATCTGAGTTTGATCAACCTGGAACCAATGGAAACTCGACACTGGCAACAACGTCGGTGGCAGAGGTGTTGATGTTTATCGCATGTCTACCAAAAAGTTGTCTTGAGAGCCATAGTGACCCTGCAAACTGTGGCCCGATTTCAAACTCGAGTGATTTCAAAGTCATATAGTCCCTTTGTCTCAAGCAGTTACTTGAGAGAACACGATGGGACTGAGAAGAAAGCGGCGGCACATGTGCGAAATGCTAGTGGTACAGGATGTTTGATCATAAGTCAGCAACATTATTGCGAAACAACGTACATCGAGACGACGTATATTGGGGACCCCCTGTGCCATGGACGTCTCATTGATCATATACTGTGGAGGTGTCGCATCCTTTCAATCGATTGAGATTAGACGATTTATTTAATTTTTACATTATGAAGTTCGTAACAGAGAGCCTTTTGACGTGCATTGAGTTATAGTCTACTTTGAAAGACCACAGATGATCCTTTAGCTCTGTCACATCCCAGTTTTCCTACTCCCTCTCTCGCACTCTGGAAACCATACCCAGGTTACATGCTCGGAAGTCCATCTGAAAATAATTGTAGAAAGGCTTGGGGAGCAAACAGGCTACATTGCTAAGCCGCCTAATTCTATCTGTGTGTGTGTAGACGGGGACAAAGCCCACCCTCACTGTGGACGTTGGCTGTGGGAGTGGCCAGGGCACGGAGCTTCTGGATTCTTTGAGCACAAAAGTGTTGGGGATCGATGTGAGCCCATCGCAGATTGAAGAGGCGATGCGCGCCAAACATCCCGACAACATCACCTACAAGTAGGTTCACAACCACACGCGCAGAGATAAAGGACTCTCTGGCCTTCCATGGGCATGCATTCAAACATCCACACTAAGTGTGTATATAGGATTGAGTGAGTCAAGAGAGATTAGAGGCTGATTTGGTGGGCAATGTTTGTGTATTATATCATGCCATATAAACTAACAAAAAACTAAACGATTATTTTTTATTTTACTGGGTAACGCCCACTGAGCTGTGTAGCCTTTTTCAGAAGTGACCTGGCCACAAATGATAGATCAGCGAAGTGGCTTATCACGTGGACATTTATAGCAGCCGAACACTTTAAATGCACAGTTCTAAAATGTGCAGAGAAAAACCGGAGAACCCAGAAAAGAATCCACACGACCACAGGGAGAACTTGCAAACTCAAAATATACAGGTGTCCGGGTCGAGATCGAACCCACGACCTCCTGTGTACCAGGTAAGGTAGCTAACATGTCCTAGCTACCGCGGGGTCGTAATATTGTGGTGGCATCCACTTGCCCTGCCACCAAGTAAAGGATCAGCAAAAATACATGTACGTCTGAACCATCGATGTTTCTTTTTTATATCCGTGTATTGCAACCCTCTAACTTTAGAACAATGCAATTTTTTCAATGTTGTGGTCTATTTTTACACCACCAAAGAACATGCTTGTCACGTGCGGGGACATTAAACTAACTGGGAGAATCAGTAACAAGGCAAAGTAGCTTTAATTCCATGTGGAGTGGGTTCCCCGGAGGCACACACTTGAACTCGGGTGACTAGACCACAACGGGGTAACTACATAACCGGATCAGTCAGTAACACACTGCTTGACCCACGATGCCGAGCGTAAAAGCCAAAGACCGAGACCTGAGGATCGAAGAGATGTAGCACCGACGGGTTCCATTCCACAGACAGTTTCCATCGGCTCTCGGGACCTCCCTTTTATGCCCCTGAGCATGGCCTGGCTCTGCCCTCGGCCACGCCCCCTTCTACATCCTACGAGAAGGTTCTGGGCCATACATCACGTGTCCCTCTCACCACCCTTTGACCCCCCTCACTATCCTGTCCTGATCACGTGCCCTTTCGGGTTCATCCAGACTATCACGTCCTCAACTGCCCTCAACCTGACTGTCACCAGAACCATGCCCCCTAGGGCCCCCTTCCATGCCATACATAATCTGGTTCCAGAGAGAGGCTCTAACACGCACAGTTGCACTCTTCTCTCAGTAGCTGGCGCTAAACGTCGTAGTGACTCAATATACGTCATTACACATGTATTGGTTACAGATTGGACACCCAAGGAGATGGCAGTTTTTCAGTATGGTTGTAACATCGATGGTCATACTACTACTATGTGAGCATGCTATGCAAATGCAGCGAGCCAGGAGACTATGGCACAACGTCTCCGGCTGCGAAGTCCGAGATCGATTCCTACTCACGACCACCAACAAGGGCGACAATTATCTGGACTGGTCCTGGGCATCCTCTCGATCGACTTTGCCTCAAATTAGTTCCTTGGTGCGGTGTGTAGTAATCATCGCCACTGGGGAAACAAAGTCGGCCGGGGCCATTATGCTGACCACCCCACCCCCTCGTGCGCCACAGTGCCAGGCCTTCAAAAGCAACACTGCTCGATACTAACAGCACTCGTCCCCAACAGTCTATTAGAGGTTAAGCAGGACATCTTTGTCTCTTGTTTATGTCGCTTCGTGTAACAATGAACAAGCCACGATGCACATTCGGTTGTTTTTTTCGTCCCCCCCGACCCCATCGTAGGGTGGGGCCAGCTGAGACCCTTCCCGTAGAGGATGGCTCCGTGTCGCTGCTGACCGCCTTCGTGTCAGCGCATTGGTTCGACCTGCCAGCCTTCATGCACGAAGTCGAGCGTGTGCTGCAGCCGCGTGGCTGCCTCGTGATTTACTCCTACATGTACCCAGTTGACATCGAGTGTGGAGTTTTCTCGGAGAAACTCACACAGATCCTGTGGAAGGTGATAACATGCAACTTCAATATCAGGTTCATGGTTCTTTGGGTAAAGTCACGTAGATAGAAAATTAAAATCAAATACTATAAAAAATATATAAGCTAAAAACCACGTTATTTTAAATTTTAATGAAATTTTATTTCATAATTATATCTTCTACGTGACTTTACCAAAATAACCATCAATATGAATTCCTGCAGTCACGAAGGTTTTAAGTAAAAATTCAATATCAGGGTTTTGTGCTTCCTTTTGCTTGACTTTAATTTTGTAATCTTGATTTGAGGTTATCATGAATGCAGGAATTATTACCAATTCATTTTTATTCTTATATTATTTACTTTTTATTTTCCATCTACGTGACTTTTTGTATCTGCTTCAACCTTTCACGCTCATTACACACACAAAGTACACGCCAAATAAGAACCACAATACCTCGCCGATCTCAAGGAGCATAAACTATCATCATGCCAACTCCGCTCATCCTCAGCAGCAGCTGCTTTTGGCTGACCATCGCACAAAGACAGTCAATCTAAAGAGATATTCCTCGCTTGAAGCCTTAAATGGAGTAAGATGACGTCATCACTGTGAGGCAATCAGATGCGGAGAGCTAGAGGGGTGGTTTCATTGTAATCATAACGTAATGGATTATGTTTGTATGGAACATGTGCGTTAATCAACATTAATCATATTCATTGGATCGTTCGGTCAAGCCACGTAGATAAATCCCTACTATCATCACCACTACTACCATCACTACTACGTTCATCACCACTACTTCCATCACTACTACCATCACCACTACTACCAACACCACTACTACCATCATCAATTACCCTTGGGCTATACCCATCTCAAACCTATATAACATCCTGCTTCAACAGCTCTCCCGCTACATTTTTTTAATGCCTCAGCAGCTCTCCCGCTATATTTTTTCACCTGATGACGATTGCTTGTGTTGCCATCAAAACGTCGTGATATTTCGATTTTTTTTCTATCTACGTGGCTTTAACGATAGATCCAAAGAATATGAATTTCTGCAGTCACGAAAGCTTTAAGTCAAGATTTCACCATTAATCAGTAATACTATGCCTTGTCACGGCATATAACTGGAAGGTGTATTACTTAATAATATTCTTCCCAGCAGCACTAAGGCTGCAGCTGTGAGAACGGTGAAAATTATTTTTATTTCTCTCAGTGTCAATAGATTTTCTAATATAATTAGTCTTGGCCAGTAATAATTAGTTTTACACAACACATGAACGTTTCAAAAATAACTTTAATGTCCTTGTTGGCAAGCATGTTCTGCAACTGCCGACAGTTTGTGAGTATTCAATATGTATTTGCTGTTATTTTATTCTTATGCGAATATCTAACCCCGTCTAATGTCAGAGTTGTCGCTTGGTAAGGCTGGTTCTAGTTGTATTTAGTGGCGACACGTCACAGCAACGGAACTGTAATTGTTGTTGTGGTTTTACTCTCCAACACACAACTGGTTTAGTGCTGAACTAGTAACTAATTGACTACAATTTGTTTTACGTGACACACCTTGCAGATGGGCTGAGTCAGGGTGGTGGCGGCAGGTTTAACGACATAGTTATATTTACACGATCGAACCCAAAACACTTCTTACGGATAATATTGGTCGCTAAAGACTACTACTACTGTTATAAATTGAATGTGGTGATTATCACCCACCAATGATTTGTGCCTTGCGACATTTACATGGACAAGCCCTGGCCTGATTACAGTGGGGAGAACCTCATAACATAACAATACTTATCATAATAAGGCCACAATGTTAACTTAATGAGCTGGTTTTACGCAATGTGGTGATGTTACATGACAGACGCGGAATGGTGACAGCACCGATTCAAGACACATTCGCACATTTTACTCTCATCATTTGCAGAAAACCCCACCGAAGGATCGTAACCTTATCTTGGAGGTGGGGGTTGTGTGTTCCAATGACGCTCAGAGCTATGTCGCCTGGAGTCTTGTCCTTCTGGTAGGATCTCCCTTAGTGAACAGGTCTGTGGGAGGTGACAGAAAAATAACGATTTAAAAGCCCCTCATGAATAATTAAACAATACAAAAATTGGAGAACCTCCCCCAGACAATGGATACTCTGGGTGTGGTGTTTGCCGGTAAGTGCCTGGTAGCTGGGTGACCCACGTAACCCAGTCGGGCCCAACCTGACATAGCTACGTGGTGCTGTCCTGTGGGCCCACCATCTGCAGGACGAAGGGTGTAGGGCAGGTGCAATGCCAGTATGGCAGGGAGAGGAATGGTCTCAGACAGATTGAATCTTGGCGATGGAGACTAGCTATTGGGACATGTGTAGAGGTGATACGCGCTGGGATTAAGGATCGTATGCACAGTGCGTGATGATTGGCTGTGTAGGTGGTGACGCGCGCTGACGGTGGAGGATCAGGGGTCAGCGCGGGGTCGTGGGTTACGGGGTACCGATTGGCTGTGGGCGGTGACGCGCTGAGAGGGAGTGATCAGGTGGCAGCGCAGTGTGATTGGGGGAGTAATGTTAACACGCGCTGGGGAAAGCGGATCGTAGAGAGAGTGCGTCGTGATTGGGTCATTAAGGAACGACGCTCACGTCGACGCCGCATCAGCTCCGTCCCTCGTGAGCAGGGGCTATAAAAGGGGATGCACACAGGCGTAATAAAAGTGTGTAACCAGCGAAGAAGGAAGACGGGGATGAAGACCTAGAGCCCTGCGGTACCTAGCCCCGCTGTCCTAAGGGGACCGGGACTCTGTGTAACCCAGAGGCGAGTGTAGTGGGTGTAGCCATAGGTCTACACGAGCCGAATGTACTATGTGTAGCCAGGGCATAGGGCTTACACGAGTCGAGTGTATTGTGTAGCCAGAGGCATAGGGCTTACACGAGTCGAGTATATTGTGTGTAGCCAGAGGCATAGGGTCTACACGAGTCAAGTGTATCGGGTGTAGCCAGAGGCCTAGAGCTTACACGAGATTAGTGGAGTGTGTCGGAGGAAGAAGAGAGACCACACGTTGTATTGTGATACCTAAAGGATTTAATAAAAGTGTGTTACCCGTCAAGAAGTTCCTGCCGTCAATTCCCATACTTCAACTGGCGTCAGAAGTGAAACGGTCCTCCAAGCATGGATACAAGGAGGAACCGTCGGACCCACGGGATTGACCACGAGGACAACCTCGACGACGCGGGCCAGCGGGCATCAGGGGGTGAGGAAGAGGAGCTGCCCACGGGGCAGGATCCACCGACGGCGCCGGTCGAGCGACGGGGGACTGACACCGTGCTTCGCGAGGCACACTCCCGTCTGGCGGAGCTGCTGCTCGCCGCCGCGTCCATCTTGGCGGAGATCAGCTCGTCGGGAGGAGCGGGGACGGCGGCCGACGTGCTACAGGGTCGCCCTGCAGATTCCCGCCAAAACGATTTGGCGATTCCCGCCATTTCATCCGCTCCAACTTTTGGCGGGAACGGCCATCACCACGTGGCAGCGGTTCTCCATGCGCGGCCGCTGACGTCACCAACGCGCGCGGCGGACCGCCATCACACACCCGCCACTGGGGCCGCCATCTTACACACCGACGGGGGGGGCAGAGAGGAAGCACGAGGAGGAGGACGACTTTATCTTTCAGCAGCGCCTTCCCACGTTGTCAGCATTCAAGGCGGAAGGCGGGGATTGGAGCCAATTTCAGCGCAGATTTTTGGCGCATCAAGAGATGTCCGCCTGGTCCGACGCTACGGCACTGCGGGCACTGCCTGCCATGCTGGACGACAACGCGCTCGCGGCCTTCACGTCCGCACGCAGGTCGGACCGCTCCACGCTCAAGGATGCGCTGGCTCTCATGGCCAAAGTCTACGGTCCTCCCTCGGCGTGCCGCCATCATTTCTACGCAAGACGGAAGGCGGACACGGAGACCGTGCTCGCCTACCGCACGGCGTTGCTCGCTCTCGCTGACGCCGCGTTCCCTCGTATGGACGAGGAGGGCCAAGATGCGATGGTTTTGGAGCAGCTGCTCAAGTTGGCGCAGGACCTGGGGGTCCCCATCAACACGGCCGACGACACCGATATTTCTTCATTACGGGTCGCCACGAGCATGCAAGCGCACGAGGTCCTTCAATGAAAGCAGGGGGTCGTCTGCAACGCTGCCGTGGCCTCAACTCCGGGTCCGGTTGACACCGTGCCCCAAGTCGTCAGCCCACGAGAGGACGCGTTCATCGCGGGACGAGCGGGGGACTGGAGGTCGGGGGGTCGTTCGCCTCTGCGAGCGGCCCGCAAGCTGGAGCAACCGAGATCTCCGACTACTGTCATCACCTGCTATAACTGCGGCCTTCGTGGCCACGTGGCCTCCGGTTGCCGCGCCCCACGTCAGCGCGCCATGGGACCTCGGCTGGACGACGACCAAGGCCCCAAGTCATCACTGCAAACCCCGGCAAGTCGCGGCACCTCACATGCTTGGCCCGCATACTCGACACGTATGGGTCGTCGCGTTGCGACGAGGGAGAGCCGAGTAGAGTTCGGGGATTCGGTTCGGAGAGGGGGGTTCGGCCGGGACCGGGGAGACATTAAATGGTCGGAATTGGGGCACAGAATAGTGGCTGCCTCAGCGGGTTCATCCGTCGTTACCGGATCGATTGATGGGGTCGAGGTCAGGGTGTTAGTGGACACGGGGGCATCGGCGACTATTATTTCGGATCTCATTTATAATATTCTCCCGGTACAATGTCGTCCGCTTCTTCCGGTGGATGTGCCATTTTACGCCGCTAACGGGGGATCGTTGGGCATTATCGGTCAGATTAGGGCGTCCATTTGCATTGGTGATATCAAATTGTCGGGACCCGTTTTCGTTTCATCTTCCCTGGCGGTTCCTTGCCTATTGGGCACTGATTTTTTGGCGAAAATGCCCATCAAAATTCTCATTGATCAGCGTTGCATTGAACTACCATCGGGTCGCCGTATTTCATTTTTGACGAGCCCTAATGTAATTTGGACGGCGTGCGCTACCAT